AATGTGTCAGCCAGGTCATCTTTGAGCTTCAAACTGTTCTCTTTCAATGTGTCGATGCGGTCATATAGGTAACTTTTTTCGATATGGCCACCGAATTCTGTTGGTAAAGATTCGAAGCTTGCCGCATAACTTTTTTGGGCAGCAACGGCCATGGTAGCAACAGCACCAATGGCGAAAGCAGGACCCTAGGTCCCAGTGAGTTAAATACTAAATTCCGTGAAATTGGAGTAGAACTCACCGCATGAGGACTAAAAAAGAGTGACACCGTTCCGAGCGCATTCAAGATTTCTGACACATCGCAATTCACCTCTCTCCGAATAGAATCCTCGAGATCTGTCAGCTTCCCACGTAATGCCGACAGTTTAGAGGACACATGAGCCTTAGCCGAAACAATCTTGTCCTTCAACAATTTCAAGTCCTCAATAGCTTTTGTGCGCTTCGACAGTTCGGATGTGACTTGCGCTGCAATTCCCTTCAGTTGAACACGGATTTCCAGTCGTTTCGCGGCTCCCTCCCGAAGATACTCTCGGACAACCTTGGCTCGGCTCGAGATATCGTTATAGTTCTTCAAGATTGACTCAACCTCCCACAAGCCGAGATGCGGCTGTTCAACAGAGATGAGACTGCAGTCGAAAATGTCCTTCATCCCGTTGATCCTGCGACATAGCGTACCAAACGAGCTGTGCACTTCTTTCCACAGCAACGTATCCGGCCCAACCGTGCCTCTATTCTTCTCATTCGCATCAAGGTCACAGATGCTACTAATCCAAGCGAGACTCCCCCCGAAGGGTGATTTGATCTTTTCGACGGCTTCGAGGTTTTCGGTCGAGTGATAGAACTGCGAAGAAAAATAGACGAAGTACTCGAAGGAGAGACGTTCAATGATCATCAACAGCTGCCGGGGCGAGTATTTCTGAAGGCCTAGGAGTACATTTGCGTCGGCAGGCACAATAGTGACTTTCCCGGCCGATGGCTGGGCTCCCGCAACGCCAATGGCTGCAACTCCTTGAGACCCCGTAGCGCCCCCGCGGATAGCAGCGGGATCGATGAAGAACTGTACGTCCCACCTGCAACCAAAGCCAAGTTCAATCCTGCAAATCGGCTTCGACTTCACATAAGACTCCACAGGCTTTGGCGAAATTTCAGAAAACAGTATTTCGGACCACAGCGTCTCCTGGCAATCCTTTCCAGGAGGGCCCCCCAGACCACCTTCGCCAGGCTCCCCATTTTGCCCGGCATCGGCTTGTATGATGAACAGATTTTCGAATCGCTTGAATTTCTCATCCTGCATGGGAGTCTCTCCGTTTACTGTCCAGATAATGTTGACATCGCCACCACTCCCACCATAACCTGGTCGGCCAGCCTTTCCGCCATCTCCGCCCGCCCTTCCTGGTAAAAGATCGAGCATCCGCCGAAAGTCACGCTCGGGCAGTGGCACATCGCCAAACCCACGCCAACCATTTCCGCCAGTGCCTCCTTGTCCACCATTCCCACCCTTGCCCCCCTTTCCACCTGTTGTGACAATCTTGAATAGGTCCTTCGCATCCGCTGGAAGCTGCAAGTCACCGTTGAAAGTAAATTTGCCGCCAGCAAACCCTGTCCCGCCGTCCGTGCCATCAATCCCTTTTGAACCATCGGAGCCGTATTCTTTAGCCTCGGGCCTTTCAAGTCCCACTATGTATACCCGGTCCGTGCCATGATCAGCAATTTGCGGCTCAGCAGGAATTGAAGATTGAGCCTCGCCGGTGAGATCAAATGTAACGGGCGTATTCAAATCACTTGGATGAGAAACGAAGATGACTGAACGACATGAGATGGTGATGTCCTTTGTTCGATAGAGGTATTTCGTGCCCCTAGCAAACACGATATTTTCCGCATGTATGACGATGTGCAGTGGAGAATCTTTCACCATTGGAATGTCGACGGCGATGGTACCTGGTGGTAAAAGGTTCTCAAAACTCGTGTCAGCACCATTGTTATTGGGGCGTATGAAAACGCTGCGATATCCTAGCAGATATGTGGTCGCGAAAGTGGTTACGCGCTTCTGATATAGAGGGTCCTTGCCGATTTCTTGTACGCTCCCAGTCGCCATCTAGTCAACATCAGCTTGTAGCCTTGCAAGAGGCGAAACGAGTGGGCATACTGATAAGGGTTCCCGCGGTTTACTGAAAGAATGCCTACGTCAAAAGACGCAAGTATATATCCTAGATCGGTGGGAACCAGTGGTTAGGTATAGAGAGGCACCCGAGTCCTTGAAGGGTACTTATTGTTCATCAAGAAGTACGCGTCCAAACACCCCCTGCAGGCTGCGTTTTGCGTGCCTGTCAAGTTCCTGTTATTAGCTTCCATTATCTTTGAGTCTCGACACAGACTTCATGGCTCGAGAGTCGAGAATTCGAATCAACTTGTCCATGGCATACGACTTCCGATAAGACCCAAGTAGTGACTTGAAGAGACTTCAAGCACTTCAGTGGTGAGAAGAATGGATATCTACATATTGGTAGCAGATCGGTAGGGTTGCGGGTCATTTGACGTGATCCGGATCTGTCGCAACCTGTAACGGCAAAACGGCATTCGTTGCCGGATTAAGTAGTATAATTATATACTAGAGGCTGACACTTAGCAGCGGCAGCAGGCACCTTGCTTGCTGACAAATACGCTGCTTTGCACCAATACAATGTGACTTTTTTTTCGTAACAAAGGAAACAGTGTTCAAGAGCTATAGTGCTACATAGTTATGTATATAAACATTGGAGCTGGCACTAAGAAAGAGACGATGATATCATGTTTTGAAAAGACCAGTTGTTTGCACCGGTTTGCTCGCTCGCGTGCGCCATATGCAAGAAAAGAGCCCCATGGCCCGTAGAAAGTTTGTTTGTTCATGCTTGCCCGCTCGCGTGCGTGATATGCAAGAAAAGACCCCCATGGCCCCTGGGTAGTTTGTTTGTACCTGTTTGGTATTTATGACCTTGGGAGACCTTGACAAGCAAGGTGATCACTCATACATTAAATTGCTGATGCGTTGCAAAAAATTGCGTAGTGACAACCTTTTCGGAATCAGTGTTTTGAAAAGACCAGTTGTTTGCACCAGTTTGCTCGCTCGCGTGCGCCATATGCAAGAAAAGAGCCCCATGGCCGGTAGAAAGTTTGTTTGTTCATGCTTGCCCGCTCGCGTGCGCGATATGCAAGAAAAGACCCCCATGGCCCCTGGGTAGTTTGTTTGTACCTGTTTGGTATTTATGACCTTGGGAGACCTTGACAAGCAAGGTGATCAGCTGTAACAGATGTGCACCTTCCTTTCAACTTTCAACACCTCATCGCGTGTCTTCTCGTCGCCCCTTCCAGATGCAACCATGTCCAGTCCAGAATACATTTTAGACGAAAAGTGAAGATGAGGTCAGAGGAAGTCTGCTTGCCAGTCGTCGACCGCACGCAAAAGTGCACTGCGGGAGGAGTGAATTACCCTCAGAAACAGAACGCATGCACTAATACGCCTACAATTCAAACCCATACTACTTTCCATGCTCCCCGCCTCTCCGCTCCGCTAACCTTTCTCGGGCTTCATTCACATGCTTAACCCTTTCCTTACGTTCCAACCTCTCTTTCTCGTGTTTCTCGAGCCCCGATTTCTTTTCCAACCGTTCTCTCCTCCGTTCCTCCTTGACTTCCTCCAACTTCTTTATATCGACTTCCAGGGCTTCCCGTCGAACTTCCAACTGCCCGTGTGCAGCTATATCCCTCTCCTCGCGTAACACTTTCAGATCATGGGCGATCTGGACTTCTATCGCTTCCGCCTTTCTTACTTCTTCGACCAATTCAGCCATAGTCGCTTCCGACACCTTGTCGTGAGCGTTAAGCACAGCAATCTCCACGTCTTTCAGCAATAACGGATCATCCAACGTGTATTTGCGTTGGTAGTGGTCCTGGAATTGGCGGTCAATATAAAGCTCGATGTCAGCCCGTGTGTATAGTTGCTCATGGAAGCGAGGAACGTCTTCGGAAAGTGTGTTAAAAAGTTCGTCGACCAGCCCCGCGCGTATGGTATCTTTCACTGTGTTGAGAAAAACCGATGCAGGCTCATGGATGCGGGGATCCGTCATAAGAGTATCAACCGCATGATCGATGCGGGAGTCCAGGTATTGCGATGAGTTTTCGCGCAGTTCCTTCATGACGATATCTTGCTGATTCTTGTTCAGTTCGTCGAGTTTATCGCTGGATAGCATATTGTCGACGGCTTCCGCGATAGCGTCGTCCAATATCTTCTTCATCTCAGTTTCTTTGCTCAAATCGATCAGAGTATGGGTGTCGAGAAGCTTCTTTTCCCCCACGTATATGCCCCATTCCCCAACACCCTCCTGATCAGATGAAACGGTCCGTTCGCCTTGAGGGGTAAACGAGACGGGGTTCCTGATCCACTCCATGATGTCCTTTATACCGTCGCCATTCATCTCGTACACCTTGATGAACTCGGCTAAGGACTTCGTGTCAGCCCAAGGACCCACGAGACTCCTAAACCAAATGCCAAAGATGTCTCCTTTCAGCAGGAACTTGAGCATACAGATGTCCCTCAAAAGCGAAGGTTGTTTTTGAGACAAGTATTCATCAAATAGCAGAGTGTGGGGGATTCTCCCCGCAGCTTCGCGTTCACGAAGGCATCTTTCGCATACGCCACATCAATCTCGATGGGCCACATGAGTTCCCCAAAGAGGACGTTGGAACGGTCAATAGTTTTCCAATTGCTTTTCCCGACACCGTAGACGCCACTCATCACATGATCCTTTGCGACTTCGAGTCGATAATGTAATGCGCCACCGTCATAGACGTGCGTTGGTTCAGTTGTCACGTACGTATACAAACCCGACCTCACGACACCATTGGCATCCGCCGCCGAGAGGCCACCATGGGTCTGAACGCGGACGACGCTGTCACCAATCAAGATGCGTGCGTATCCCCCAGGCGGAAACTCCCCGCTCGCCTCAAATGCGCTCTCCCGTTGGCGGAAGGTCTGTTCATATCTGTCTTTCAATGCTTGACGACCAGATGCGGGCAGGAACGGATTATGGTATTCCTTCAAGAATGCGGCATCCTCAGGGTTCCGAGCGTCCAACATTCCTCCATCAGGAAAAAAAGTTTTAGCCAGTAGATCTCCGGTTAGATCAGTAGCCGATCGTACCTGTCGTAGTCATCAATAGCTTGGCAGATTTCATGATCGTGCTGATTGCTGTCTGTAGACCGTCGGTCCGCCGCGTTGTGCAATAGGGCTGACAGAGGTGCCGCCGCGTCTATCATCGGGTCTGTAGTTACTTCCACCCACTACAGTGGCTATCAGTGCTACAAAGGCTCCTGTAGACAGTTTACTCAATTAGTATGTTTTCGTAGTCAATCAATCAATGTCTTGAGATGCAGTAAACAGAAAATGTATCTATGAGCAATTCCAGCGTTTGATATCGATGTGCATGCCAGTATGAGTTGAACAGGTTGAACATATTTTGTGACTTAGACAAAAATCCATGCGCACGACCATCGGATAATCGGCTCACGACCCGATGTCACATGATGGTTGAAGATCTGAAATTTTTCCTCTCTCGCTCTTTCCTTTTAACCACGATCTTCCCATTTGCGTCAACCAGAACGCCTCAGACCTTCACCTGTCTGCTCGCCTGTCACTTCCCCTTTTCTAACAACGCTTGTTTGGCTTTCAATCAACGTATCCCACCTCATACAGATTGCCTCCAGTCCAACTACAACGACAACATATTGTGTCTTCGTCTGTTGGCTCTCCTACCCCCTCCCTTCCAACCACGGCAGTCATGTGGCTTTCGTTCAATGTATCCCTCCTCGAACGCCTCTCTACCATGTTGAGATGATCAGTTGACATTGCGACTGATACCACATCATCAATCCACGACACCCACCCAATCTCGCCTCCTGTTTCATCATACAACCTCAACCGACACCCAGCATCTCTCCATCCATACCCCTCTACGCCTTTCTCTTCAAAACGACGATGTTCATCCTTGCCCCCTTCTTTTCGTCAACTCGAAAACACACGAAACAAGCGCTTGAGGACGCCACTGTCACGAGCAGCGCCCCAGGTTGAACGCAAGAGCTGCATGTCACCGCTAACGCCCAACACACGTATACCCTCTCCTTCTCATGTGCGAAAGGGGAAAGGTAATCTCAAACTCCTTCCTCCATTGTCGCATTGCAAGCTAAACTCTTCACAGAATCCAACGAACGGCGTGGTATGGTACATCCTCGGGTTTTCTGCTAACCCTAGCCAACCTATATCCGTTCCTTTGGCTGAGAAAGAGGCATAGTGAGTCTTTTGTATCTATTCACGTAGTTTCCAGTCCTGATGTTGGAGTCAACTTTAGTTCCTCTTTCTATACCCACAAGATGTCGCAACTGTGGCCATTCTTGTGTATGTATCCCCCTTCCTAACCCATCCTACCCACTGCCTAACCTCCCTCGATTACACAGCCACCTCCACATTCGGCCGCCTCTATGGCTCCAGCATGCACAAGCTCCCAGCACACCTTCCCATCTTCCGCCTTCCACTCACTCTGCGTAAGTCCCTCGCAGGGTTCATGGCCGCCTCTATCACAGGCGTCCTGATCGCTGTGGGTTTCTAGAGCCTCGTTGCACCGTTCCGGAATGAAGGGCAGGACGAGACCTGGGCAATCGAAGGTAGTGACCGCGCGTGGGACAATACCTGGATGGTGGTGGGAGCATGAGGAGAGCTTGAAGACAAGCGATAGCATCATCTCGTAATCTTTTATATATGCTGTTTGTAACCTGAAATATATATATATCTATCCTGTATTTCCTCTAAGCTGGTCTCTATCTGTGCTACGTCATGCAATAGTGTCTATGTATGACGGCAGGACTTCCATAATATGATGCTATTGGGAGCTATGTTGCAAGTAGGCAAGGCTATATATGTATTTATAGTGCTATATAAACTGATGGTGAGGCTATGGTGTGCTATGTAAAGGGGGGGTTGCAAAAGTGCTACCATAGCTATCAAAACTATATTGCGCGATGTCGCAACCACTTTTTTTCCTGATGTCCATAGCCTTGAAAGTGCTTAAAGTAGCGGATCATCTGTGCGTGGTCCCCCAACGCTGTGGCCGTATCTGCGAGGAAATTCAGCTGGGAGGCATGATAGAAATGATTTCGGCCTTCTTTTTCATTAGCGGTGCCCATATAGTTGTACGTCGAAAGGTCTAGGGGATCGATATTTTTCCTGAACTGAAGTGATTTGAGAAGGCCCACGTTTACGGCTAGGTCATGCACCGCTGAGTCGTTTGACAAGGCTTTGATGATACTAGCCGCATTTTCCCCCAATTTCGACGAGGGTGCGCGATAATCTTCGATGAGAGGCGATCTATTACGAGTGAAGAAATTCTCGAGGCGGCTGCTGGTGAGACTTTTGAAATGGAGTTCATAAGCGATTCGTGTGCCATCATTCTTGTACATGTCTCTGAGAAATTTCTGCATCTATTTGACCTGTGAGATGATACTTGGTAGGACGTGATTCAAACTGACGATTAGCTGACGATTCCCCGGTGTTGGTCGGGGTTGAGTTTAGGGGGCTACAAGAGCGAACAGAGTGGATGTCAGTGTCGTGCCACAGGCCATAAGTCAGAAGTCGTGGAGTCCGGCAGAACCCTGGTCCCGGTAGGTACCTGTATTTGTTGCCCCTGTGCCTAGATATCACAGAGGACAGGACAGGGTTAGACCTGCACAATTATAAGTCGTCCGGAAGTTTGATAACCCCGAAATTTAATCAGGAGCACTGAGCACTCCTTCCAGCCTGAGATTCAGACGTGGGATTCAGAAAAGTTTAGGGTCCTGTGGTTGAAAATGTCAACATACCATAATGTGACGCTGTCATGGACGAACATAATAGTCAATGACAACTTTCTTGCTCCTGAACGACGCTAAGGTCCTTCTGAAGAAAATTAGTCGGACGCAGTGTATATGACATTACGTCGAGTTCGCAAGCCTATCATCCTTTGATTACAGCTGCCTGCAGAATTTAACGAAAGGACTGACATGGAAAACTCAGTCTTTGAAGACCAGTGAGTATTGCCTTCTTCTGTGCGTAAGGTTGGTAATGCCAAATGTCGTATTCATTGCGTGGGAAGAGCACATGCGTTTCCTGCTCAACACAACTTTCGTTGTTGCTGGAAAACGGAATGTGGTCCTTAAAGACGAGGAATAGGACTTGAAGAATGAGGCTTAGAAGCGATCACGACGCTGAAGACATAACAGGTTGAGAGCCTACTGTTGAGTGCTTTAGCCGGGATTACAGGCATTGGATAAATCATACCTCGACGTTAATTTTCAATTTTGGGGTTGTGGACCAGGTATGCGCTTCCTTTTACTTTCCCCTCTACCTCGTCTTCCCTGTTGAACGCTTCCCTTTCACCCTCCATCACCCTCCCTTTCTTGTTGGGGCGGTGTTGATCCCCACCTCCTGACTTCGTTTATCGCGCCAGCAAAGGCAGGAGCTCAAACCAGATCTACGCGACCAATGCCCCTTCGTAAGCGACGACGCGCCCTCCGGAGCAGTGTCCATCGTTAAACGCGACGCAATATTCGGAGGCCCATCGCATTATTCATTGTTTGAGGAGTTGAAGGAAGAGTTTCGGGAAAAGCCTGAGTTGAACCCGGGGGGATACGAAAGCCACCGTGATTAATTGTCTCTTTGAGCCGATTCGGAAGGGTTTTAAGGAGGTCGAGGAGTGGAAGTGGATAGAGTTGGCGTGTTATCCTGAAGTTGGGAAGGTTGCGAAGAAGGGAAGGTGAATAATCGTAAATCGGAGGGAGCGGGGACTAGGGCCCAGGGGCTTACTTTGCGATAGATGTGTAGAGGAAGGTGCTCATCGCGCTTGTTGAAGCCAGCTCGGAGTCCACGGCTGTTGTTGACGGGGAAGCGTAACAGAGTCGACGTTGATCGATGCACATCCAACGTGAGGGCTTCGACTCGGACAGTAGACAGGCGCCAGGCCTTCAAGCTTCAGGCTTCAGGCTTGGTAGGCTGCTGGTCGTTGATTTTAAGGCCCCCCGAGAGCGTGGTGGAGTCAGAAAGTCATTTTTTTACGTATGGGTCGCGCGCTTGACGAGCTAGCGCTATCCAAGATTTTGAGGACAATTTGAGGCTCACAAGATATATGGCGCCAAGTTATGGCACTTGGGCGAAACGACCAGGTGTTTGGTTCGACCGTTGAAGCTAAACACTATAGTCTGCTTCGTTCAAAAACCCCATCCTTGCCACAGAAAACGGTGCTAATTGAGTATACACGAGATCAAGAAAACATCATACACGAGAGCAAGAGCGCAACAGCAAGAGCAACAGAAGCCAACGACTCGAAAAGCGAGATGGGAAGCAAGTAATTGGCAAGGAATGAAGAAAGGACGGAGAAACAGAAAGGGAGAATGAGTAGCGGCGATGGAGAAATAGGTAACAGCAGTGGTGCAGTAGCCTGCACAATAAACAAGTAGGAAAGGAAAGAAATATTGAGGTGGGACGGAGAAAGAGAAGATGTAATGGATAGCAGTGGTGCAGTATTAAGCAAGTAGAAGGGAAAACTTGAACCAGTGGGCACGGGAAGAGATATCATGAGATGGGAAAGTCGGCAAGGAGGTCCATGAGAAACGAGAAGGTGAAGGTTCAATAGGATGGGTATGTGAGAAGGGAAACGTGAGCGGCCGCGGGCAATGTGATGGACGTGCACAAGAAAGGGGGTATATGGTTGAAACCTGGGGTCCAGTAATTGGATGAATGGCGGACATAGACGCAGTCCTTGACCTTGAGCTACCATGAGCATGGTCCGCTGTTTGACGCTTGGAGTGGTGCGCATGATATGACTGTCTTTCGACGATAGAGCTAATGGTGGGTCGGACCACCAAGCCCAAACGGATGGATCTCTGACCTCCTACCGTGGCAGAGAGTCGCAGTTTTTCTTCTGGTGCCTGAGCATAGCGTCTCTGCGGGAAAAGGAGCGTCCACAGAATTCGCAGTCGGAGCCAAACACCCCAAGTTCCTCCCCCTCCGAATGTGAGAGCAGATGCCTTGCGCTGGTGCTTTGGCAAATGTGTCTCCCAAGACTGTCTTCATTTAGGAGTCCTCGCCTTCGGCACCCCTTCCAAAGGCATTCTATCTTGGTGTCCTTCTTTCCACCATCATTCTGACGGTATATCTTCCCCACGTCGGCATGGTACTGTCGGAGGTGGTCTCTGACGGCAGAACCTGTGGCCAAGACCTGTACCCCGCAATGCTCCATGGGGTTGCCCCATCGGCAAAGGATCTTGTAGGTGTAAGCCTTGCTACCAGACTTCTGGGTACGAGGGCGTTTGACAGATGGCCTAGTCGTACAAGAAAACGCTGGTTGATCAGAAGCAGGGGAGAGGCCAAAAGGCAGCGAGACAGGTTCGGCAGCGTCAAATGGAAGGCCAGGATGTGGCATCGTCAAAACCGACGCTTCAGGCTGTACAAAGTTGGTGCTGCGATAGGTAATTTGCCGTGAGTAACGACATCTATGCAAGCGAAAAACTGAGACTTACAGCATGAAATGAGGCGCTTCCCCAAATCTGTTTTCCTTCTCAAATTCTTCCAGAGTGGGCGGGAGATTGTGCGCATAGCCAGGCGGAGTGATGTAAGACCTGATTCTGTGAGACCCAATTCTGTGAGATCTATTTCTGTGAGACCCAATTCCAGGTTGGGTTGGAAGTAGTGCCGATTGAGGATGGTTAAAATCGCGAGTGGCACCGGTAGGGTAGGGCTGGGTGCTAAGATTTTGAGGGTAGGTAGGAGCACCGTAATCAGTTTGGAGGAAGTGCGGCTGAGGCTGGGTGGAGTAGTTTTGTGGGGATGGCTGGTAACACGCGAAACCAGGGATAGAGAGGAAAGTGGGGACCTCTGCCTTCTGGAAACCGTTGAGTGGCTCATGATCATAGTAGGTCGCGTTAATGTCGACCAATTCATTACGTGGGAGGCGTGTCG